ACACAAGCAACCGTGTAATTTCCACCCTGACGGTCACACAGGAACACACGCCGTGTGCCTGTCCCCTCCCTTCTCCCCATTCATGACCCTTCCTCCTGCCCACCTCCACCCCAGAGGCGTCACTTCTGAAGGCACCCATGTACAAGCAGCACACCGCCTAAACACACTTGAGGCATTTGGATTGAATGAGGTTCGATATAGCTCACCGTCGCTGAAGTTCTCACACAGCTTATCTTCTCTCCCTCTGTCATTCCGTATCTCGCCCTGTTCTGCTACACTCCCTCTCTCTCTTTCTCTCCAACTCCAACTCGCTCCCTGTTCTGTTACACTCCTCCCTCCCTTTCTCTCTCTCTCTCTCTCTCTCCATGCTACATTCTGCTCGTTCACTTGGAAATCTCCTCCCCTTTCTTTCTAACTGGATATGTCATAACACCAGTTCGAGGCGTGTTATTGGTTCAAACAATCGTCCTGTAACAATCACTATCAATGCAGTGAGCTGATTTGGCACAAATGTTTCACCCGTATGAATATTCAGAGACACGGCTGAGCCGAAACATTATGACCATCACGGGCACACAGCCCCATATGCAGCGGGGGGTGATACACTGTGTTGTGACACACTCCTCCTGTAACCGTCATTAATATTTTATGGGTGACAAAGAAGACCTTCTGCCGATTTGCACCAGTCGTGACAGCCTCCGGTGAATCAATGAACCTTGGGCGCCCAACACCCTGTCGCCGGTTTGTGGTTTGTCCCTCCTCAGACCACGGTCGGTAGGTGCTCACCACTGGTGACCGGGAGCACCCCACAAGCTGACCGGGAGCACCCCACAAACTGACTGGGAGCACCCCACAAGCTGACTGGGAGCACCCCACAAGCTGACTGGTAGCATCCCAAAAGCTGACTGGGAGCACCCCACAAGCTGACTGGGAGCACCCGACAAACTGACCGGGAGCACCCCACAAGCTGACTGGGAGCACCCCACAAACTGACCGGGAGCACCCCACAAGCTGACTGGGAGCACCCCACAAGCTGACCGGGAGCACCCCACAAGCTGACTGGGAGCACCCCACAAGCTGACCGGGAGCACCCCACAAGCTGACTGGGAGCACCCCACAAGCTGACCGGGAGCACCCCACAAGCTGACTGGGAGCACCCCACAAGCTGACCGGGAGCACCCCACAAGCTGACTGGGAGCACCCCACAAAACTGACCGGGAGCACCCCACAAGCTGACTGGGAGCACCCCACAAGCTGACTGGGAGCACCCCACAAAACTGACCGGGAGCACCCCACAAGCTGACCGGGAGCACCCCACAAACTGACTGGGAGCACCCCACAAGCTGACTGGGAGCACCCCACAAACTGACCGGGAGCACCCCACAAGCTGACTGGGAGCACCCCACAAACTGACCGGGAGCACCCCACAAGCTGACTGGGAGCACCCCACAAGCTGACCGGGAGCACCCCACAAGCTGACTGGGAGCACCCCACAAGCTGACCGGGAGCACCCCACAAACTGACCGGGAGCACCCCACAAGCTGACCTGGAGCACCCCACAAACTGACCGGAACATCACTTAAAAAATATCCAGATAATTGATCTGTGAGAAACGTGGATAAACAGAGTAAGTCTTTTTCCCCTCCTACCTTTTGTGCTGTGAGAAGCAGTTCTCTTTTCTGCTTTTTCAAGGCGTTCATCTCTCTATCTCTCTCTCTCTCCATCTCCTTCAGTTGTTTCTCTAGCTGCTGGACACACTCCTGAACAAAACATTAAATGTAAATAAATGTCAGCACACAAATAAACACCTTGCATTTCTCTTGTAATAATGATACTACGAGCAGCTGTACACCTCTGGCCAGTTCACTGTCCATTACTGTAGGTGAGAGATGCGGATCTTCCAACATTAACGAGTTAACAGATGAGAGATGGTCTAACGCGGGGGTGAAGTGGAGGATGAGAGGGAAGAAAGAATGAGTAACGTCACCTCAGCACAATAAATCTGTCAGATAGAGAGAGCTGTCAACTGAGACAAAGCCACGGTCCAGCTGAATCAACTGGAACACGCCTCTCTCACTGTCATCACTCCTATCGCTCCAGCTCATTACATGCTGGGACAAATTGTCTTTGGTTTATATCTCCCTCCCATATTACCTCCTCCCTCTACAGCCCTGCACTTCCTCTCTCTCTACAGCCCTGCGCCTCCTCCCTCTACAGCCCTGCACCTCCTCCCTCTACAGCCCTGCGCCTCCTCCCTCTACAGCCCTCCCGCCTCCTCCCTCTACAGCCCAGCGCCTCCTCCCTCTACAGCCCTGCACCTCCTCCCTCTACAGCCCTGCGCCTCCTCCCTCTACAGCCCTGCGCCTCCTCCCTCTACAGCCCTGCGCCTCCTCCCTCTACAGCCCTGCCAGAACGTCCTTACGCGGCAGAGTTGTATGGTTGTTCCAATTAGCTTTACCACGGTGTGTTCAAATTATTAATACAAATGGAGACCAGAGACAAAACTTCAGAATAGAGGTCTTTGCCCCTCACAGTGTAAACACTCACTTATCAGGTCTCACATGACACACCTCGCACACCAAACCAGTCCGACAAACTGTGAGATTTTAATTTAGCCACCCTGGCTCACCTGTGCCGATGTCACAGCTCGCTGTTGGCATGAGATTTCCTTCCTTTTCTCTTCCTTGTTCTCTCGCTCCTTCTCTTGTTTCTCCCTGTCGCTCCCCTCCTCAATCCCGGCCTCGCTCTCCAGGACTCTGAACTCCCAGTCCTCGAACGCCCGGGCTGCCGCCTCCACCATCTCTTTTTCCTGGAGGACACACACGGATGACGGTCAAGAGAGATAGCGGAAGATCCATTTAAAAAAAAAAATCAGGGAAGAAAGAGCGGTTTAGAGAAAGTAAAGAGACGTTCAATGGAACAATAACTATGAAAAGTGCCTCTGGCTCAAAACGCTAAAACGTGAAACCACAGATGAGACCAAACCAGTCATTAAACAGGCATGAACAGCAGCCTAGGTTTCTGCCTGCATCCTAAATGCCACCCTGGTTCCTATATGACGCACTACATTCAACAGGGGACCGTGAGGCTCCGGGGCCAAAGTAGCGCGCTATAACACGCATCCTCTGTCGTCTGAATGACACCAGATGTCACCGAGTACAATGAGTCCTCTGTGTACAATCGTGTCCCAAATAGCTCCCTGACACATTGACATGTGAGGTAGAACAGGTTGTGGCCAGACTCCTGGCACATCCGAAACCGGTACTACAGCAACAGCTGGGAAACGCAAGTCCATCAGGTCCGTGCTCTGGTTGGCTGGCGCAGCAAGACGGGTTCGAAAATGTTTGTGTTTTTTAACAGTCAAAAATCGCTTTAGGTTATAAATGTATTAGAATAACAGCTTTAAAATTAATAAGGCGGTTGAATGGACTGGTCTTGGATCAGTCAGCACCTGTTGCAACTCGATTAGTAGCTTCTCTTTTTGCTTCTCTGGCTGACTGGGGATCAGCGTTTCCTTCTCCGACAACCGCTTCCTCAGATCTTCCACCCGGCCCCTCTCCTTCTCCAGATTGGCTCGCTCCTGTAAAAGGAGACAGAGTGAGAGAGAAGGAGACAGAGAGAGAGAGAGAGAGAGAGAGAGAGATAAGGAGACGGAGAGAGAGAGAGGAGACGGAGAGAGAGAGAGAGAGAGAGAGAGAGAGAGAAGGAGACGGAGAGAGAGAGAAGGAGACGGAGAGAGAGAGAGAGAGAGAAGGAGACGGAGAGAGAGAGAGAGAGAGAGAGAAGGAGACGGAGAGAGAGAGAAGGAGACGGAGAGAGAGAGATAGGAAGAGAGAGCAATTAAATAAAGAGGATGGGTAAGATGAGAGAGCAGTCAGCCCTTCATATAAAAGTCTGTCTGTCTGCACTCTGCCTACAGTACCACTGGCTTTCTGTCGTCTGTCTGTAGTTTCCAGTAGCACTGACCTCCTGTCTGTGTGTCTGTCTGTGTGTCTCATTGGGCCTGCCCGGTTCCTCCTGCAGTTTTTGTAGTTGCAGTGTGTTTTCCTGCAGCTGGTTTGTCTGGTCCTGCAGTTCTGCCTTTAACAGGGCAATCTCCAGCTGCACCTGGACCCAGACAGACACCAGTAACCACATTAGCCCCAGGTGTCACACATCACATTTACAGAATGTCAACGTGGTTCACCTCCTCACCTCTATATTCAGCTCCTCCCTCTGCTGGTCAATCTCTGTGATTCGCTGTCGCAGCAAGCAGGGCGACCGAGGGATCCTACCGGAGCCCCCCTCTGAACGTTTGGTGCGAGACTGAGAAATGCAATGGAGACAAGAGGTGCGATCACCACACAGAAGCTTCAGAACCGGCCGTTCAGGCCAGATGCAAGCGAAGCTGTCGCTTCAGTTGGTGACTAATGGCAGCGTGTTAAAGTATACAGTTCGTCCCCTTGGGCCGTCGAAGCATCAGTCTCTGACCTCACTGCCAGTAGACACCCCCGACACCCCCACAGTCCCTGTGGCCATTTGAAAGCCACTCCAACTCACCCGGTCACTCTCTGTACTGCTGCCCTCCGTATCCGACTCCGTCCCTGACGACGCGGGGCTCCGCCCTCCGGCCATTCGGCTGATTGGCCGGGTGACCCAGGGCGGCCGAACACCCTTGTCCCATTGGCTCCTCGGGGTGTCCGTGTTGTCGAGGGGCATTCCTGCGGCAGCAGGACTAAACGGGGGGATGAGAGTTACTCACTTGACTGAATACAGCGGTAACTCAATACAATGCCTGACTCCAAGCTAAAGGAATCAGGTGACCGTCCACACAAAACAAAACAACCTTAGGATTAGTACGCCAGTGTGTCAGCATTAGGCACTTCATAAAGGAAAATCCCACAGACATTCAGAACGTTGTTCTGGTTGATCAGGAAACCCCCCGATGAGAGGAAAAGTGAAAGAAAAAAGAGAAGGCGCGATCTGCGTCGACTTATTTCTGATGGAGACAAGCCATTCAATAACCTACAGCTCAGTGGGAGAGTGCATGCATTGTATGTATGATATCCTGGGTTCAATTCCTAGGTTAAATAAAAAACTATATTTCACACACTACACAATAGGGAGCTATACAAAAGGCAGGAGTTCAATCACTTGTTGTAAAATAATCTTATTATGAGTTGTTATGATGCAACTACAACGCAACTAGTTCAAACCTATATTTACAACTATAAATATAGCACATGTTCCCCATATCACACTCTCTCTCTCATACAAACGCACATGCACACAAAAATATTGTTGACCTCCATTTTCCTAATGTTTACTCTAGTTACTCTGTTTCTCCCTCAATTTCTCACTGTCTTTCCTTCGCATCTCTCATCTCTTTCTGTATATCTCTCCTTATCCCTCACATTTCTCCTTGTCTCTCGCATATCTTCCTGTCTATCTCTCATGTCTCCCTGTATATCTCCCATCTCTCGTCTCTTTCTGTATATCTCTCACATTTCTCACTGTCTCTTTCATATCTCCCTGTCTCTCTCATATCAACCTGTCTCTCTCATATCAACCTGTCTCTCTCATATCTACCTGTCTCTCTCACGTCTCTACCTGTCTCTCTCATATCTCCCTGTCTCTCTCATTTCAACCTGTCTCTCTCACGTCTCTCTCATATCTCCCTATCTCTCGTATCTCCCTGTCACTCTCATATCAACCTGTCTCTCTCATATCTACCTGTCTCTCTCACGTCTCTATCAGTCTTTGTCATATCTCCATGTCTCATCTCACCGTGTTCAGGCCATATTAGGCAATGTGGTCTAGAGAAGCGGAGGCACGGCGATAAATATACAACTCTGATATGAGTGAGGCCTTCTAAATACAGACAGGGCAGGGTAGAGAATGATGATGAGGAGATCGGTAGGAAGTGGCTTTGAAAATGTCAGAGGCCAGAGGCCAGAGTCATATTTCCAGCAAGAAGATGGGAAACAGTCCGTCTGTACAGAACGCAACTTCACCCAGCTGAACATGTACAATACTGGGTTGTTGAGAAAAGAATGGCTACACGCATAAAGTCTATTTCTGTACTACATAGAAATGTTAGTGCCTATAAATATCCATAATATGCTGACAGTAATTATGACATAGTTTAATTTAGCCAAATTCCATCTGACATGATTATTTTAGTCAGTACCATAACAGGGCTTTCGAGATGCTTTCTAGATTGAATGTTTTGGCCTACCGAATAAGAGCACAACCTGGTGAGCATTGAGATGTGTTTGAGCCAAGACTGGCTCACATCCTTATGACCCAAACCGACACGAGCGTTAGGGTTGGTATTATCTAACCTTTAAGTCCAGTTCAGTCGCCCTATCAACAGTGAGCGTTGTGCTAGGGAGAGTCACCCAGGAGTAAAGTCCATACTTTCATGTCAACACAGAGGATATTCAGAAGCAACTCGCGAAAGGCTAAACAAACACGGTTGGGTTGTGTGTGAAATGACACCTTATTAAACAGTGGCACACTCGTCTGGGCCATGGTAGAGACTTTGGCTGGTCCGGGTGCCATTTAACACATCCCCGTGGGGATATACCACATGAAGGGGGAGAAAACCAACACTAGCCATAATAAAAACAGTTAAAAAAGAACTGTAGAGTCGCAGAACAAGTGGGGAAAGGGCTACTGATCCAGAGGACGATAGGATGTTTTAACATGCTGCAAATTGGTATTAAATACAGAGGAGTGGCTGGTGAGATAAGAGAGGAATGAGCTAACCGTAATCTCTGTGACGACGGAGGATGTGTGGGTTACAATATCCGGACATGCTCGGCGCACGGGCCTCAAGTACCAGACTAGGAGACACTCTCTCATACCGCAGAGCTAATCATTCTTATACACCCAGAAATGACCGGCAAGAGCTGGAACGTTTAACACAAAGGCCGCGTTTACACAGACAGCTTAGATTATTCGCCCACTAATTGATGCGATCCAATGACCTCTTGAAAATACCCAAACGCAGTCGCAATAACAGTGCATGCTCACATGGTGAGATAGGTGATCGAAGAGTGGGAAAGATCACAGCACACTTCAATTTCACGTTCCACACTGTTAACACAGTGAAAGGATGATAGTGAGATAGAGATAGTGAGATATAGAAAGATAGAGAGAATGAACCACTATACACCACATCTTGTTAAACAAGTATTTGGTTACGCCAGCTCGTCAGCGTAAATAAACACAACCTCTGTTTCCTCAGTAATCTATGTGCCTATTTGCCCTTCTGCTGTATAGTGACAAGCCTCCATATCTAAAGCATAGTTAATCTCATCCCCCCTCAGCTGGGTTGACGTAATTATGGGACTGGGATTGTATTGACTCAGTTTAATTCATCCCTAAGACACAATATGCATGCGCGTGCGTGTGTGTGTGTGTGTGTGTGTGTGTGTGTCGGAGCATGGCAACACGGGCCATGTTCGTTTTCTCAGTCCCTGTTCAACTTCAGCCAATTGCATTCTGGTCAGACCCCTGGCTGGTCGTTGACATCTACACTTACGTATCAGCCGGACATATCTGGACAGAACGTGCTGCAGCCAAACACATACACATGCTGATTGATAGTGTTGGCCAATCTGGCACAACAAGTTCTAAGAGACATTGTCTTGCACTGATCTCTTGGCCGTACAGCCGTCAAACATTTGGGACAAACACAGACAATCGTTTGTGGCACCAATGCTAAAGTAATAACACACTGTACCACACGGTAATAATGACTGGAATTGTATTTTCCTCATTAAGATAGTCAGGGCGAATGGCCCCGTCTAGCCTTTAATAAAACAGATACTGTAGCTTCTAGGTGAGGCCGTGGCCGATTGCAAAAGACACACCGGGGAAACAAGTCATTCACACACAGCCAGAACTGCCCAACTAAAATTCTATTAAAGGGACCGTAGACACACTTTCTATCCCTGGCCGCCAGTCCGAGTGTGAGCACAGACAAATGGTCTCTGGCAGGGCATTGGCTAATGTGGATTATGTCAAATGAGTCAGCCTTATCTTCCACAGAGCCTTTGTAATGTCACCATATCAAATTGAATGGAAACCCGTTCACCCCTGTTAAAAACATTGACGCATATTCAAGAGGATATTTATATTAGTTGTCTCATTAGTTGTCAGGAATACTATCAAAGAGCCTCACCCGTAATACTTCAGAACTAATTTAGGCAGAAACATAACACAGGGACTATAGCTTTAAACTATGCTAGGCAGATACTAAGCGTGACCTGCTCATACCTAACAAACATCCGCAGTAAGCATACTGTCACACTATTGACATGGAAGGAATCAGGACGTTCAGCGTTAGATAAGGCGCTAGCAGTTCCAGCAGGCGAAGCCTCTCCTGCACTGACTTCGTCAAGAGCTGAGGACAACATTTACATACTGTGATATGGGGTTGTATTGCGTCGTTCATTCATTGGGGTGCATTCAAAGTCACAACTCTGTGTCGTGTCTCATCTGATAACTCGCTTGGCCTGCATACAGCCTCAACGGCGAGAACCCAACCGTATAATCACAAACCATAAAATCAATTTCCACGGAAAACTGTTATGTATTCGCTCAGCTTGTACTTTCCGGAGCAGCACAGCTGAACTAAGCAACCGATCTTGACCTTTACGCCACAAGCACATGACAGATAAAGGTGCCCAGGAATACATGGGGGGGGGGGCGTTCAAAACAGCAACATGGTCTCTTTAAAGTGCACTAAAACCAACCATTGCCCACATTAAAAGTAGTGCACTTTGTAAAAGATGTGTCAGGAATGCCTCCTTATTCCAAATGTACTGCAGGGCCACTCCTGCAGGGTCAAAGGTCAAAAAACAGGAAGCTGTCATCGCCACTGTGCCCTGACACATCAGAGGCTCGGGAAATGCTCTGGCTGTACGAGTTCAGAGGACTTGAAGGGTTACAAACGCTCGATGGCCGTGACCAGGCTGGATAGAAGGTCAGCGAGGCATCTCTCTGCCAGAGGAGAGGTGAGATATTGTGACAGCCTGCTATCAAGGTGTGAACGTGGCGAGGCCTATTGTTAGAAACATAGAATGATGCTGTTGCATAGTCAGTGTTCTAGGAACCAATAATAGATTAGATTAAAATACAGTCTGGGGTTGTTGACTGTTGGGGAGGTTGTATAATATCTCTATGATTCATGTCAATTATCCTTCATAATGGATATAACAGCTTCTATAAGTATTTTCATAATAGCACTATTAAGTGTGCATACAGCACAAAATAAAAATGAACAGTGACAGTCAGGAAACAGGAGAAAGTACATGGAAATATGTGCTTGTTCAACAACATTAACAGAGCAGGATATTTCACTGTGCTATGCAAACCTCGTAGCTCTGAGATAAAGAAATAACAAACTATTTTTGACAGGCTAGGTCTCACAAGTGGTGCCAAAAAGCTGGTGTGGAAAAAAAAGAACACAGAAGGGAGATTCTGGACTCCCCTGACTGCTACCCTCCTAGTGAAGATTTTCTCTCTCTTTGTTTACACCCCGTGCTGACGGACATGATGTACAATGATAATAAACAGATATAGTCTTGGAAACTAATTGAGTTAACATAAACTAAGGAGAAGAGGGTCATGCGACAGTGGGTTTTGGAAACAGAATAACAGGTTTGAATCAGAACAATCATGTCATAGTTTCACAGTGAAAATAACAAGCCAAACTACTGAAACACATAAACCCTTAATATTGGGTTATCAAGGTCAAACATATGTGGCCATAGAATGTGGAGCCCAGTTCTGATACTGTAGGCAAATATATATATAGTAAATAAAAACAGGCAGTAAATAAAAAATACATTTGAAACGACCAAAACATGTGTTGTATGTTATGTAGTCAATTTGGATAGACATGGAAAAAAATGTCGTATTGAAATGTATTTTGTGATAGTGTGCTTTAAAGGAATGAATAGAGTTTTAGATGTATATAAATGAAATTGCATATAACAATATAATATAAAAACAAATAGGCGAACATCTTACCTGTCTGAGAGTATCCAGTCTTCTCAATTCAAACACTTCCTAGTTG